TACGAAGAATGCAGGGGGTTAGATGTGGCGGGCCAAGGGGGACTTGCCTTAGGCGCCCAAAGAAGGCCAGCTGAGAACGCCGAGCTATTTAAGCTCCGCTGATCGCCGAACCTGCCGAGATTCCTGTGTGTCAAACTATGAGCGCCTCTGTGCGTGTCGGCAAGCGCTCTCTGTGTGTAAAATTCCGTGCATGTGTGTAAAATAACAATTTGTGTGTGTTGAAACGGACCATCTGTGTATGACTTTAGTCTCCGTGTGTGTCAAACTCCGTTGTGTGTGTGTTAAACTGCATTGCATGTGTATTCACCCCATACTCTGTGTGTGTTCAATCTGAAATTTTGTGTATTAAGTCGTATTCCATGTGTATAAAATTACGGGAGAATTTTTTCCCAATCCGGCCTTCATAGACGCCTCTTTGTCCTCATAGCCCTGGCCTATTCCAAAGACACGGAACAAAGATCTTTATCCCAGCGTCCCATTCTTTCTTCTCAAGAAGATAGCAACGTGTTAGTGGCACAAAGCAGATGAGAGGGTATTAATACAACAATAAGCCGACTCGAGGAGCCATTCAACCATTTCCCTCCCCTCGTTCCAGCAGTGCGATCCCATAAACCTCTGATGATGAAGTACGACCTCACGATAGCCAGCTATAGGTTTCATGGGTGCGACATTTTCTCTTTCTTCGTCATGCAAGTGAAGTCGCTTACATTTTTTCTCTGTGGCGTGCCGCCCAGATTCTATGCAACCCAGCTTCTCTATCGCCCTTCCACGGCGTTCGCTGTAAAGCAGTGGCAGACCGTGTTAACGCCAAAACCCAATGACACCCTGTGCCACTGGGTACTGGGCGAACGACAGTGCTTACTTCCTTCCTGAATGTGAACCTTCACCAACACATCATTCCTGCTGCTACACTCCTTTCGCGGCACAGACGAGCGACTACCCCCAAGCCACGAGGTCAACTCTGACGACGGAGATAGCTGTCCAGTCTGGCGTCTCCTGCGACGTTCACCACCCAGATAGAAGCGTGGCTCACGATACCACCACACCGACCATATATCCCGCAGGGCCCTTCCCATCTTCCGCTTTCAGCTTTTCTGTCCCGCACCCAGCCTACCCATCTAATCTCCCAGGTCTCGTATGGCCACCCACCGCAACGTTTACTCCGATGGATATGACTTTCCAATCTGGCGTCTCCAACGACATTGACTCCTACGCAAACAGTAACGTGATTCACAATGCCACCATATCAAGTGCATATCCCGACGCAGGGGCATTCCCTACTTCCAATTCCACGTTTTCCATCGCGCAGCCTCCGTACCAGTCTAATGACTCTGGTCTCGTATGGCCACCTAGCAGCCACTTTAACCCTCAGAGTTATTTTGACTACAAACCGCCAACGGAGTACAACTCCGGCCCTGGACTGGAAGCGCCAACCGGCGTAGTTCCTTCTTCAAGTTCGCACCATTCGGACGTGTTTGCTTCCCAATCCAATCGACGCTTTGCCTTTGAACCCGTTCAGCCAACTGCAAGCGGGTCTAACCCTCGCTCGGGCAGATCTGAGCTTACCCGACGAAGAGACAATGATGGCAATGCAACGGCGGTGCCACAAAAACCACAGAGGAAGCGCAGGAGGCCCCAGCCATCATCCTCACCTGGCACAGCTGTTGCCGTGCCCTCGCAGGCATCGACAACCTCAACACCATCCCCTGCGCCATCCCTATCTTCCGCCTCCTCGTCCTCGAGCTCCTCCACCTCCCCCTCGTCGAGGTTTCGAAACAAATGGGTCCAAGACGCAGATGGACGCTGCCGGTGCCTACTGTGCTATACCGGTGTTCACTGACACCGAGAAGGACATCGTTCGCCATCTCAAGCACGCCGAGGTGCACCATCCCGAGAAGGTGCGCTGCTCGGACATGATCTACCGGTGCCCTTGTGGAAAGGGGGTGTTGGGAAAAAGGAAGGACGCACAGAAGCGTCATGTGGTCACGTACATCGCCAGGGAGAGGAGCCAGGCGATCTCGTCGGGGAATAGGGAACGCCTCGATAGGGTGAACGCGTACGAGGCGCGGTTGAGGAAGGAGAAGTTGCTGTGATCTCCCTTACCTTTCACCTGGACCGCTGTTATTTGCTTTGCTGTTTCTTTCAAATCTTCTATCTTATCAAGTAGCTTTCCTGCTTTCGTACGGTCCGTATCTTTGTATCGTTAGTGTAGTTTCAATTTTTGAGTTCCTCTTCACATACGCTAAGAATCCGTTGAGGTATTCCTCGAAAGACGTGGAGAGTGGTCTGACCCTGTGTGAGAGAGAAACTTGAGGCAAGGAACTAACTCACCGTCTGAGCCGAGCTGGTCAATGCATCCTAGTCGACGGTGAGGAGGAAAGGGTACCACTGGTAAGCATAGTTGCGGATCGAATCGACCTCGAGAGGCTCAGTGTTGGCGCCATAGACCCTGAGGATGATCTAGGAAATATCATCAGCCGGCCTGTTGTGAAATTTCGTATGAATGGAGACTCACCATAGTTCGGATGTCGGTGGCGAAACTAAAATTGAGACTGATGGGCACACGAGGCGAAACAGTACTTTATACAGCGCACGAGCACATCACGACGTTGGTCCTCTGCTTCAGGGGGGGTTGTGTATGGTGAGAGAGAGGCGAAGGAAGCAGTGTCGCATGCGTAGCCTGAAGCCCGAAGTCTCTTCCCTGAGCACACGAGAATAACTCTCGTTCAGTGACATGAAGAAAGGAAGAAATGGAAAATTGAACATACGTACTTAACCCCCTCTAGTCCCTCGTTACCGTTCTCCACGCCAGAACCATCCGCGACCGCGACAAGCCCGTCGCAATCACGAAAGCTTTCGCAGCCATCCAAAACGTCGACGCGTTTAGTATCGATAGGATGGATAGCATCTCGGCCACGCTGATGGAAGTACGGTCGGAATAGAAGTCGTCGAAGACTGGGACTTCGCCTGTCGGCGTGCTGAGAGGCGAAAGCGGAGGCATTCCGCGTGGAGATGCCAGCGAAGAGGGCAGAGAGAGACGAGCGTACTACGTGCGCTGTATACGGAGCACGATTGGCTGGATGGCTACCGCCAGACTGGTGCCTATGAACTGAAGAAGCCGGGTTAGAACACGAGCCGCAAAATAGGAATCAAAGACACACAGTGGACACAGAGATTCATAAAGAGACCTTCGTCAGAGGGCAACGTTCGTATTAATTGAGTGGGCATTACCGCGTTGAACGGTATTGGATATTGAGATCTGAGACGAGAACTCAAAGGAGGAGGATGGACATGGTACTTACGGAGAGCGGAGGGCAATTGTGCTTGTTTGGCAAGGCCTTCTCGGCAGGGCTCAGCACATGACAAATTTCTCGGAGCCTTGTTTCCCTCTTTCCTCCACATCCTCTGTTCTTCGCCGTCGAGACCTCGAGCCCTTCAACTCTTTGTCCCTTCACGCTTTGTGGGCTATATCTGGGGGATGTCCCATCTTCCATCATCTGCTTATCTCCCTTGCCCACCGTCTCCTCTGCTCGTCGATGGCAACTCCAGAAGATAGCAGCAGGGAGAACCCCCAAGGACCCTCCTTCCAGGGAGCCATCTGTCGACGACTCCGCATCGAGGTTGTGACATCGACACCTTGTTTGTACTGTTTCATTGGGGGTATCTCTGTTCCGCTCTTCCTAGCTGCTGCATGCCGATAGGATTGCTGCCAATGCACACATTTTCCTTCTTCTATACCTACACATCGCTCACTCCCGACGTCTCGTGATTTCATCTCACTTTGATCCCGTTCTATTGGTCGAGAACACGCCGTTATCGTCGTGGATCAACGACTGGGGATGAAGTTGGCAGGGAAGGATTCTTCTTCGCCTTTCCAACAGTATCAGAGCCACCGTCTCTGAGTGGTTGGCTTCTGCCTTTGGATTACAATTCGATTAAGTGCCCTCCCTGCTGCCTCTATCTCTGATATGCTGCGTCCACCCACTGCAACACTCTTTGTCCTCATCGCCTGTCCTGTCTCTGCTCGAGTATACTCCTGGCAAACAATTGTCTGTGCGGCATAATCTCGACCGTAGACCACTCGAAAATACCAATTCTCACGGGATAGAAATGTGTCCCAAGCCTCTAGGGCGGCGACGAGATCAGACTTATGTTGGAGAGTGTGAGCGGTCGTACCGCTCTTGTGACATCCACGGTTCGACCTTCCTATCCGCACCCCATCTGCGCGTTCTGGCTTTTAGAATGACAAATCCTCCCATACGTCCACCTCGTCCGCCCGAACCTGGAATTCCGTCGCTCGCCCGAGGTGTCTACCAGAATTCACGAGCGTCGGACGAAGATGCCCCATTTCTCGAGTCTCCTAGCCGCCTCGCGATGACTTTCGGACATCGGGAGCGAGTGTCCGTAACTTTCCAGTCCGGTTCAGGGTCGGTGGTAGTACCCTGTCCTCATCATGATCATTATCCGTATCGGGATTGTGCTCGAAATATGTTTCTTTCTGAAAATATTTTCGCGGCTTCGTCGACCTACGCACGCAAGGGCAGTCGGCAGAGAGAGGGCTTTCGACCCGACCCGTTTTACGTTCTTCACGCCGAGGACTAGGCGGCGCGTTGTTGCTTTGTAAGTCAGACGATGAGATCCCTCTCTCCTGTTATCTTCCCTGTGCAGGCTGGGGAAATTCACAGGGACCCATGGTGCAATAAAAATGTTTGCGCAGTATTTCCACTCAAATTCTGTCGAGAGTGATTTCCACCCGTGTCTGGGCACGCAACTACGTATTCAGTCGACTGGGTCATTGGACATACAGAGACCTCTTCGTTGACAACCCGGAAAAAGCCATTTGCGACCGTTAATTTTTTTGCGCTTTATCTCCTGGCGTCTTTGACTCGTACCAGTCAATCATTGAGGCAATGATTTATTTCCGAGTAAAAGAGATCCTTTCTCTTTGACCTTCTGGATCGAATCTTTTGGATGAGGCTACAAACACCTTTGTCTCGTTTCACCGTCTTTTGTGTGACAACGACTGGCGGCAGCGAGAAGGAAATCAGGTATATAAGTAGCCATGAGTCGACACAGCTCAAACACCGAGCTATCCACCCCCTTTACTTCTGCCCCAAGCCACTATGACCCTCCCGGCTCAGATGCATCAACATAACAGATCGCTTCTAGTATGTTTATTACATGTTCGTTCGTCGCTCTGTCTGGACAAACTGTGACGCTGACAGCTTCACTTATTTCAGATGCAGCCCATCTTCTCTTACCAACTCCGGGTTCGCGTTGGATGCACCGGACGGTGTACTACCTTCCTCAATTTCACACTGTTTGGACCCTTCCTTTTCCCAACTTCATCAACGCTTCGCCCTTGACCTGTTCAGCCGACTGCGAGTGTGTCCAACCCTTGCTCAGGTGACTCAGGTGGACTAGACGAAGAGTCGACGATGTCAATGCAGTGGCGGCACCACAGAAGCAACCGAGGAAGCGCTGCTTTGCTCTCCCTGGCATCGATAGCCTCTACGTCCACGGCATTACCCACACCCTCCCTATCTTCCACCTCCTCGTACTCGGGCTCGTCCACCTCTCCCTTGCCGACGTCTCCCGCACAATAACCACCAACTGGAATCAAGACTCGGATGGACGCTTCCGGTGCCTGCTGTGTGAACCGGTGTTCACGGACACCGAGAAGGACATCGCACGCCATCTCGAGAATACCGAAGTGCATAATCCTGGGAAGGTGCGCTGCTCGGACACCATTTACCAGGCCCTTGTGGAAAGGGGGTATTGGGAAGGAGGAAGGACGCACAGAAGCGTCATGTGGTCACGTACATCACTAGGGAGAGGAACCGGGCGATCTCGTCGGGGAATAGGGAACGCCTCGATAGGGTGAACGCGTACGAGGCGCGGTTGAAGAGCGAAAAGTTGGTATGATCTCCCTTACCTTTCACCTGGACCGCTGTTGTTTGCTTTGCTGTTGCTTTCAAAGATGCTATCTAACGTTTGCTTATCGAGTAGCTTTCTTGCTTCGTACTATCTGTATCTGTGTATCATTAGTGTAATTTCAAAAATTCAGTTCCTCTTCACATACGTTAAAAATCCCTCGAGGTATTCCTTGACGCTGAGAATCATCTGACATTCAGATTGCGGAAGAAAGAAACCTAAGCTGAAGGTACAGAAGTAACTCACTGTCTGGACAGAGCTGGTCAACGCAACGAGAAGATTCGTGAATGGGTACGCACCGCCCGCTCCCGTACCTAGAGCAGCTACGCCATATAGAAGCGCGAGATTGTTCCTAGCGAGCGCGTTGCTCGTGTATGAGGTTGTCTCGGGGTTGGCTTCGGATGCGCCGTCGTATCTCAAGATGGCTGAGTTTCTCCCTCCGTCTCAGCCATTCGGACCAGGTACCAAGGCTCGGCTCCGATCCTGTGGTCAGACGCACTGTGATCGGCGGTGAGGATGAAGGACTAACACTGGCTGGCGTAAAGCCAGGTCAGGCCGATCTCAAGAGGCTCGGTCTCGACGCTGTTGGCTTCGACGATCGTTTAGGGGGTATCCTCCGCCCCGGCCTGTTTTAAATCTCTATGTGAATGGGTGACTTACCAGTGTGGTTATCGAGGGGAAAGTTAAGTTGGGTCGCGAAGACGGAAACGAGGCGGAAACGGGTGATAACAGCGAATTAGACTGTGGAATTGTGACGTTGAAATAAGCCCAGCAGATGGGACGACAGCATAGTACCTAAATATATCAGCATCGTCCGTGGTGGTACGTGAAAGGTTCCTACCGATCTGCGGGCGTAATGATCATATATTCATGGTCGACGTCGTCGCTACACGTGGAATGTTAGTCTCGAACTCCCCTTAAAATAAATGAACAGCTTACCAGTCGATATATGAATCGTCACATCTGAACGCCCTAAGGTCGAGTATCCGCTCGCCTAATTATGCGCTCGAAGTTTGCCCTGGATTGCTTTTCCTGCGTTTCTCCGGAGAGATGTCGCCACGGATGGTAGACCCCTCGAACTCGAGGAATGACGCAGAGAAACACGAGATCAGAGTGTGGAAACGGGGATGGCACCGACGTGGATGAGGCGAATCGACTGACAGAAATGCCGTACAAATTGTCAGCGAACGTACATGTATGGCAGTGAGAAAGACGAACTGTTCGTCTCGAGATTCACCTAGCCAAATATATGCCAGCATCTCAGCATATATGCGGCGTTAAAGCGCTCGCAACACATTGTCCACTCGTTGAATTTTCTAATCTTCCTCCGCAGTCTTAGTCGCCAGACTCGGATGAGCAGATGTCTGTCCAGAGAGATGTCTACGAGAGAGAGCATAAGATTTAGACGGTGTGAATCGTCCACATACCTACGTT